ATATATATATATATATTACGTTAATTTGAATTTATATAATTAAATATTAAAAAAATAATTTTTATAAAAATGTAAACTTGATGAATTTCTAATTTAATAAATAGATTGTTGAAAACATATACCATATAAGTTTTCCAATAAAATAATTTTTAAAAAAATTGTTTTTAGAGTAACTAGATTGATCCTTATAATACCATATGTATATAGTATGATTTATTCAAAAAATTATAAGGCATAACATGCATTTGATATAAAATATAATTGTAATATAATTGATGATATATATATAACACTGTCATTTTATTATAGATAGTCATGTATTGGAAAATTGTTAACTTCTTTAAAAATTATTTTATAGATTAGATACAAGACATTACAATATATTTTATATTAATAATATGTCAAAATTATACTTTTTAATATATCACCTACATGACTAGGGCTATTGTATTTTGTCTTGAAAGAAATTAGGATAACAATCGTTGCTGTCTCTTTCATTTCAGTGCAACATATGCATCAATAATTGAATAAATGAATATTATACATAAAACATTTGGAAGCTAATAATGATCAACTTTCTTTAGCTATATATTTTATTAATATCGTTCAAAATGTTGACAAACTATCGACAGCAAACTGTTAAATTATGTAATAATTCTTTATCAGATACCGTCTAGTAAATTTGGGCCACAAGTTTCACAATATTATTCTCATATGAAAAATGCGCACAGATGCAAACTCAATAAATCACATGCTGAATAATACTGTATTGGCTTATGATATATACACCTCTATTCTATGATAAGTATACCTTTTTTTAAAAAAAATCTTAAAATATAGTTAATTTTTTATTTTTTATTTTTTATTTTTAGGTATCTAATTTTTAATTTAATATATTTTTTTTATTTTTTCACATGCATCTTTCTCTTTTTTTTTTTGACTTATGATATATATATATATATATATATATTAAGTACACCTTCTTTTCTTTTTTATAAAATAATTCTTAAAATATCATAAACTAAAAAAAGGGAGAAAATTATAAATTAAACAATAAAAGAGTAAAATTAAAAAAAATACAAGATAAAAAATTAAAGATATTTTAAAAAATAAAAAAAAGGAGGTGTACTTATAACAAAAAAGGTGGTGTATATATCATCAACCTACTGTATTTGATAGCACCTCTAAGGCCCAACTAGAAGCAAAAGCACACTCAAGCCCAAAAGAAAGACCCCAAACTCCTTTATGGCTCCAACCCTAATATTAATGGACTTTTCCCTTATGTTTTTAGTTTTAAAACAAGTGTCATCTGTAGACACATGAAGGGTTGTGATCACTTGACCGTTACTGATTTTAAATTCATATACTCTTGTAACGTCTATAAAAAAGACAATGAAGAATTATGATATCATATCTGGATACGAGTCTATAATTTTTTTTTAAAAGAAATTAATACTTATTATTTTTATCAATGAAATTCTCAAAAGCCTAGAATTCCTATTTTATTTTTAATATTTGAAATTTGTTTTTTATAGTTTATTAATTCCCCCTTTACAAATAAAAATCAATAGTGTCAATTATTACACATCACCGTATTATTTTAACCTGAAAATGATGCCCTTTTTAAATCAGTACAATAAAATTTAATTTCAAAATACGAGCGAAGAAACAAGGGTTTTCTAAAAATGATAGAAATCTGGTTTCGAAATCAAATTCAATTCATTTTTAAAATTTTAAATTGGAATACACTTAAGATAAACTACAATTTTATAATGAATTCCATTGTCTTGTTGAAACTTAGAATCCATCTTTTACTTGCTAGATAAAATCACGTTCTAAGAGTCTATTTTGTGCATAATGTAAATTGATATAAGTAATTCATTATGACGTTCGACATAAGATAAGTGAATGACTTTTTGTTTATTGATGTCAGGCGTAAAATTGGAAGTGTCAAATGTCACTCAGTTGAGAGCTCTTTGTTTATATGACATTGGATATAGATTTTGTAGTCATGGGTGTGAATCAAACAAAAGTTCTCTACATGAATGAAATCAGATGTAGGTTTAATCACGTTAGGCTTGATTGACATATGAGTTTTTTGTCTCATCCACACTAGGCACATGTGAATTGGCATTAGGCATAAGCGAGTTAAAAGCTCTCTACCTCAATGATGTCAAACATTAGGAGAATGACATGAAACATGGGTTACTTAATGATAACTTGTTGTTTATTTGACAAAGTGTTGAACATGTGTTAAATATATTTAATTACTTACATGGTTTATGTTGTTATATGATTCTAGTTCATTATGCATTGATCTAGGATAATCTATAATGATGTTTTAAGTTACTTAAATTACAAATTGATTATGAATGAAAGTAGATTAGTAGTAAAGTGGTATGATAATAAGATGTGTAGTGTTGAAAGTAGTTATGTTGTGAATGTTTGATGCATGTAGTTGAGTTATGTTAATTTACTTAAGACTTGAGAAAAGGTGTTATTTTAAAAGACGAATATCTCATTGTGAGGATATGATGTTGTGGTGCTTTAAAAGCCCAATTGTGAAAAAAACACTTCTTAAGCATAGTTATCTCTTGAAGTGGAGTATTGAGTCTCCTCTAAGACCTTAGTAGATATAATATGAGTGTTAGGTTGAGTCATACTAAGTATAAAGTGACCAATGTAGAACCATATGAGGGTAAGATTGAGCCATACATATATGAAGTGACCAACCGAGTAGGGTACAAGGTCAAGGGCGAAGATCCTTATCTAAGTATTGGAAGGATGCACTATGTAACGACCCGCCGTGGTCCCTACACTTAGTGGAATCGAGGTTAAGTTGTAGAAATGTAGTTTGTAATGAAGATAATAAGTAGTTTTACCCTTTAAGTGTTTGATCTTATGAATGATTTGAGGTACTTATATCAATGTTTAGAAATGATGAATTATGGTAGAAAACAATTGTTAATAGGTTATGATGTAAATTGATTGTTAATGACTTGAGATATTCTAATGATTGTGATATCTAAGGAATTCATGTGTGACAATGATAAAGTTGCTAGAAATTCTTAGTGACATTGATCTTAGTGGCTATGGTTAAAGTGATAACATATGATTAAACTATCTCATAGTGATTTTTATTTGAGGTGTATTTGATGATGTTGTGTAATCATTGTATTACTTAATAACTGATTATAGTGTATGAGTATGCCATTGATATGACATATTGTGAGCTATGTATGAATTGATTGATGTGCTTTAACATTGATGCATTTGATGTGTATGGATCCTGCGAGGATCATATGATGAGAAGTTTAAGTGAGGCTTAACCATGATGTGATATGATAAGATGTGTGATGTGTTATGGTATAAGACCATCTGAATGTTATGCATAAAGACTGTTTGACATCCATCATATGCATAAAATGTTTTTGAAGGATATGATATGAAATACATCGTTAGGAAAGGTCCCTTGTATAAAAGTCTGGGAACCAACCTTGGAGATAACTTGATTTGAGAGTCTTAGTCCTGCTCTCATGAGCATGTGATGTATCTTGCAGGCTTAGCTATCTCAACTAGATCCTAGTAGTATGTCTTTCTACGTGTATTGTTATGATGTAACTTGATTCTTATATTGTTATTAATGGAATAATTAATCTTAATTATTGTATGATTAAGCTATGTTGTTGTATATGCGTGACTACTCGATCATTCTCTACACTAGTGGCTAAAGTGTGATATGTTTTAACTCTCCTATTTTCTTTGTGTCTTGTTTTGGTATGTTTATGCTGAAGACTTTAACTTTGGAGAAGTTTAAATTGTTGATGAGATTGTTCTAATAGGATGTAACATCAAAACTTTAAATAAAGTTTTTTTTCCTACTATTCTTGCATTAGAATGCTAGTTCTTGTTTTTAGAAAATGTTTTTGCACTATTTATTATTCCTTGTAATCGCTTTAGTTTTAGTCATGTTATTTCTTGAGTTTTGAATGTCATATATTTTATTCTCAATTTTTAATTATTAAAGGAAGTATTTTCAAACTATTATTATTATTTCTATTATTGTGATTATGTATGAGGGTTAAAAGGTGTCCCTCCCTGCAACATTAAATGTAATACAACTTTAGTATTTTAATTAATTACAAGCAATTAAATTAGTCATTGCACTTGTTGTACTTGATTAAGCAAATTTCATGTTTAAATAATTACAAAAATGCACGAATAACCTATTACTTATAATCAATTAAAGTTTATGCTTAGTTAATTACAAGTAATTGAAATGCCTCATTCATTGAGTGCAATCAATTGATTATATTTAATGTTCGAATAATGTCACGAAAGTCCTTATATTTTTTATTAGTCTCTTAATCAATTAAAAATTAATTATGAAAATATCTTATATAATTAATTTTAGAAAGATAAATTAGTAAATTTGTTTATATTATAAATTTGTCCTTTTTTAAATTCAAACCAAATAATTATAATATGAAGATAATAAGTAGTTTTACCCTTTAAGTGTTTGATCTTATGAATGATTTGAGGTACTTATATCAATGTTTAGAAATGATGAATTATGGTAGAAAACAATTGTTAATAGGTTATGATGTAAATTGATTGTTAATGACTTGAGATATTCTAATGATTGTGAGACGACTTACAACTTTACAGTAATAGACGACTTACAACTTTATAGCAACTCACAACAATACAACTATAGATATCTTACAACAAGAGGCAACTTACAACAATAAGCATTTTTCAACAATAGGCAACTTATACAACTTTAAACAACTTTTACATCAATAAATTACTTCAACTTATACATCTCAACTTATTAATAATTCAACAATAAACAACATAAAAACAACTTAGTTTTACCACGTATAGCAACTTTAACAACGTATCACATATTATCAACACACAACATATGAACAACTTAAGTTAACAACTTTATAAACAACTTCAGCAATATACAACATATTTAAAATTCATCTATAAGGTCAACTTATATAAACAACATAAAAACAACTTAGTCAATCTACACTCTAGCTTCCCTCACCTGAAGATTGGCTCAGAATAGCCAACAACTGTGACGAAATAGAATTCCCTTCCAAAGTTCAACCTGGAACTTCAATCCTCCCAAAGCAAGCTTTCTAATATGAATTTCAAGAAAAGTCAGAAGGCATTAGTGGTCTAGAGGAGAAAAGGAGTCAAACATAGAAATTTGGGAGAGAAATGAGCTCACTGACCCTTCATACAGAGAAATTTGGGAGAGAAAGTAGCTCACAGACCCAGAGACCTTCTCTCCAAAACTTCTCTCTAAAAACTCACATTCTCCTCAAGACCCTCAACCCCTATTTATAGAATTTCCGGAGTGGCCAGAACGGCCTGTACCAAATCCGGAACGGCTCGTTCTGCACCCCCTAATCACGTACAAAATTTTCATGTAGAACGACCCGTTCTGAAATCAGAACGACCCGTTCTCAACTACGTTTTACAAGCTAATTTAATAGCTTGGAACGGCCCGTTCCAAATTGAGAACGGCCTGTTCTGGCTACTAAATCAGCCACATTTTTTTTTCTATATTACACACTATTTGGAAGGTAGTTGATAGACTAATTTTATATAGGTTTAGTTGTACATGCCAAGACCCTGGTAGGTTCACACCCAAGTTTTTTTTATCCCGAGTAAGAATATTGGATTTTCATAGTTTAAGTAACGAAATTTGAGAAAATGTGTTGTATTGTGAATTAATATCTAAATTTGTTATTGATCTAGCAAGCATATAAAGATCACATTACTAAGTTAGTTCGATATGATCAAATTATTTAAATTGTTCACCTATGTTGTACAAGATCTTTCTGTTGAAATGTATGACGATGTATCATGTTGTTATGTCGATATGTTGTTAAGTTGAGTTGTGTTGAAAGTTGATTATTGTTGTTATATTATGATATTTGTGTTGTCATGTTGTGAAGAGATTTAGTTGCTAAGTTAAGGTTGATAAACCATTTTGTATGTTGAGAAGCTACCTTCTTGTAACTTTGTACACATATAATATTATGTCGATAATTATCCTTAAGTTGAGCTTAAAATGTTGTTAAATTTGTATTATTAATTTTTTTGTATAATTAGCCCAATACTCCTATATTGTGTTGTTTCTTTTGAAATTTAAGTTTGTTCTTGTATTTTTCTATTATTTGATTGCGATGATCATATTTTTTATGAGAATAAGGTATATATATATATATGATTGTGTTATGATTTCACCTTTTAATTGATTATTTTTTCTAAATATATTATTGTATGATAATTTTATGTGATTAAGTTGATACCAAACGCGTAAGATGCAGAGCAGTTACATTTAAAAGTCCAAGGAATACTTGTACTACATGTTTGACCAAGTTGGAAATATGTATTCTTTCAGCCTTCGACCGAAACCATCACTTACTTTCCTTTATTATCTGTTTCTTTAGCAGCCCATGGGTAGTTTTTATTTTTCCTTGGTTGGTGGCAGCGAGAGGGGAAGAATCTGTAGTTCGCCACTGCTAAACTAGTAACCAATATTTTCTTCATTCCATTTTCATCAAAAATCAAATCTTATTATACCAACAATAAATTAAACGTTAAGAATACTAGAATAGAATGGAACTCAAATAATCAATAGTGGAAACAAAGTCAGTCACTTTGACTTCAAAGTTACGGTAACTTTCTCTCTTATTAATTGTTAAATCAATATTTTTTTTTATATTTTTTATTTTGATTCACTTACATGGCATTTACATGCTACTTACGTGGCCACCGATTAATTCTGTTTAAATTATTTAGACGAAAATTTGAAATTGGAACGATTTAAATTATTGGGACCAAATTAAGACCTAAAATTAAAGTAGAATTAAATTAAAAAAAAAAATATTGTAAGAGATCAAAAAAGTATTTAACCAATATTTTAGAAGGAGCAAAGGCTATTACAAAATTTAATTCAGTTTAGTTGAAAAGAAAAAAAGAATTTATAAATTAGTACATGTCTTGTTTTGCTCTCTCATTTTAGTTTCCTGACGTGTAACAGTATGAAACTAAAGTGAATAATATAACATTACCCATACAATTTAAGCGGATAGATTTGAAATTCAAACCAACTTGGAATCGGCATTATCCCAAAAGTAGCCTAGGAAAGTCTTGGCGGCATCCAAGCTTGGAAAATACGTGGGTTCCAGAAAAATCTGAGTCAACGAGTCAGCCGAGTCGTAACTCAAGCCAACTCGGTTCCCGTTCGCCTCGGAGCTTCCCATCACCACCGCCAAGACCTGCTTGTACGAAAAGAAGAACCTCTTCATCGCCGCCTCAATCGCCTGCATCGCCTGAAGCACGTGAATCTTCTCGAACGCGCTCTTCTTCTCCGCCACGTACAGCTTCATCGCCGCCTCCTGAATCCTCGGTCCTCCCTTCGGATCCACTTCCACTTCCAGAATCTCCGGCACGTTATGCCTCAGATCTCTGCACAGCTTCGTTAACTCCACGAGCTCCTTCGACCGGAAGCAGAACGACGCCGTCTCGCCTCTCGACGACCTCACCGCCAGCTCGTTCTTCAGCCGCAAGAAATCGTCCGGATCCATGACCAGGTGAAGATCCTCCACCTCCGATAGAAGCTTCCAGATCCGCTCCACCGCGTGGAGGTCCTCCGCGGCCTCCTCGAACCTTCTGGAAAGGATGGCGTCGCCGATCCTTTCCACAAGCTTACAGGCGGCGCGGATCCAACACTCGGCGATCTGGTGCGTGGCGTGCACCGCGTCGTTCTCGTGATTCTCCACGCGCTGGCCAGTGAGCGCGTGAATCTCGCGAGGCTTGCAGACGCGGTCGTACAAGAGGCTGGGTTTGGCGGCGAGGTTGGGCTCTCCCAAACCCAGCGTGTAGTGACACCTCCTCATTTGGCATTCGACGGAGAGAAGGATCCTCTGCGCCGCGTCCTTGGATTTGTACCAGGTGGCGAGGCGCGGGAGCAGACTCTCTTGGCTGTAGCTTCTGGTCTGGCAATTGTCGGTGTTGGTGAGATGAGCAGTTGGCGCGGTGCCACGTGTGGCGGAGTTGTGGTCCTCGTCCTCGCACAGCATTGCGATGATTTCGATTTGGTGGATGGCGAGGGACTCTAGCCTGCGGTTGCGTTCCCTGCGGTTGGAGTAAGGTCTGGGATCGGACAGAAGGATGGAGAGGAAACGGAAGGTGATTTCGAGAGCTTGTAAAGCGGGTTTTACGATTGGTTCGTTGGTCCAGTTAGGGAAGTGTGGCGTGTTCCAATGGTTTCTGAGTTCCGGAAGGTGGAGATAGTTTTCGTATGCGGCGCGGAGTGAGGGTGCAGTGGAGAAGATGTCTGTGTTGTGGTTATGGAAGGAGAGAGAGAGTTTTGGTGCCTTGGGAGACATGTCGGAAGTTGGCATGTTTGATTTCCAATGTAAATCGACCATTTTGATTTTGGTTGAATAGAATGTTGGGTGAGTGAGGGAAGAGGGAAGGGGGTTTGAGTATTTATATGGAGTGGAATTTGAAAGACGTGTGTGAGGGGATTGTTATTTGAAAGTCGCGGTTACTTGAAATAAGATTTTAAAATTATGGAAAGTGGCATGGCATGGCATGTAGATGAATTAATTATATTTATCTTATATTGATAATAAGATAGGAAAGAGAGAGGAATGGTGGAGCGGCAGAAGAAGATTGAAGCTTATGCTTATCCATAACATAAGAATAAGAACTAAGAAGATGCAGAAGGTGTCCGTTTACTTTGAACTTGAACTGTCACGGGGAATATTATTGTCATAAATAAATAAAAATTATAAGTAGTGGGGATGGTTGAATTTGGACCTTCGGAGGGCACGCGTTTGTGCTGTTTCGCGTTTCGCCAGTAGCCACCGCTTTTTGACAATATTCATTCCCAATCGTTCGGCGCTCAGTTACGTTATGCTCCAAACAATGGCCTTTCCGCTTTCTCCACACATAAACCAATTTTTTTTTATTTATTTATTTTTGGATATTAACCATAATCTATTTCACTTACAATTATAAAATGAAGGCCATTTTTTTTATTCTTTTATATTATATTTATAGCATTTTTTATTTATTTATAATAATCAAGTAATAAATGCTTTAAATTTTTTATTTATTTATAAAAACTAAGTTAGAACTGCCTTTCTGTCATAAAAAAAAAAAAAAAAGAGTTAGAACTGTGTCCCGATTCTTTTATAAGAGTGAAATCCAAATATCTTTTGTATTGATTTTTTTTACAAAAGTATCACAATTTTTCACTGACTTCAACAAACAAATAGTAAGTGTAAGAAATTGATTTTTCAAGCTCTTTACAAGTATAACTATGTATTATAGAACATTTAAATTAAATAATTTTCTTAATTTTTGTAGATTAGTTAATTGAATCCTATAAAATATGAATGGAGTATTAAATAATTATTGTTTTAGTTTTAAAAACTAAAATAACACATTTTATTAATTTTTTAAGCTAATATAATTTGTTAATAATATTCAAATTTGTAGAAATTAATTTGGTGAATTAATCTTGAATCCTTTCAAAAAAAGAGCCACATGAACTCACCGTCCTTTTCTTCTACCTTTCCATCTATGATCTATGTAATAATACCCCAAATTCGTTCTGCATGTATCATTGTAGCTAAAGCTAAATTACCAGCACAAGTTTAGCTCAACTCAACATACTTTGAATCTAGATAAAAAGAAGTGCAATTCACAAAGTAATAAACAAGTCATAGTTTATGTCTTGACACCATTTAGGGAAGCTCAACAATACTTTTACTTCTGAAGCAACAAATTCTTCTTCTATCATATTGCGTCTCAGAATTTAAAAATGTGCATTAGAATATACGTTCTCAACTTTTATCTCTATATAGCCTTGAGAATTTTCACTCTGGCTCCCAGATACAGGTCATGTTACCTTAACTCAGTGTTAAGTGATGTGCATAAGCAATTTGTTTTGCCAGATGCAAAGCACTGTATTCTGGTAATAGTTGTTTAATGCATACATATATATCGAAAACAACATAAAAGATAGACATGGAAGCAACAACATAGAGGATAATACACGTTCCTTAAACAGTAAGAAAATCTAGACATGCGTAGAATTGGAAAGCTCATTAACTGCTCGAGAAATTTTGTATCATTAGTCGACCGAAAGTGAGAAACTGCGCAATTTGTGGGAAAACGACTATGCCCAATCCACATATATACACTCATTTTCAATTAATTTTTTTAATATAATCTGATCAATTGCTGCAGTAGTTAAGTGTATTATATTGTAGACTATTTATTCAGTAAAAAAGTTTCGTATTTAATATTTTAATCTCTACAAGTTCGAGTTAGCTAGCGAATTTTATATTGCCGTGAGGGGAATTAATATATGGTTCGTTAGTTGATAGAACAAATTTAGATTTAATGCTTTTCTTTTTTGTTTCTATGTAAATCCAGCGGCAACAACCTTTTTCCTAAAACTTACCAACATTCATGCCTTCCTTTTCGATAATAAACAAGATTTGAAAACATTATGAATGTTATTTTACCAAACAAGACTAATGGATTCGCCAGCTTTGTCCAGCGACACGTATCGTAGTATTGAAGACACTTTTTTTTTTTTTTTTTTTATTTTTTTTTAATGCATAAAATATAAAACAACACTGGTTTGAATTACACCGATTAAGGTGAGCGGTCCCCACGAAAAACAACTGGCAATTGTATTTTTATGAAATAACCAGAAGGGTTGTTTTACTGACACGGATTTACAATTACAACTATAGTTATCTACCCCAAAAAGTAAAAACTAAAGATAATTAATTTAGAGTTACACTTCAACTATAAAATCTAAGTCTTTTTTTATTATTGTTTTGACTCATAACTATAAAATATAATTCAAACTGTTTTTTTTCTTTTTCGTTAAGGGTCAAATGTTTTATTACTTAAAGAAAATAGTGTATAATAAAATTAGTTGTTGTATATAAAATTTTATTTTGTAGAAATAAACATATTATTAGTCAATTACAGTTTTAGTTTTTTCATAAGTTTTAATTACTTAAAATTTTTCATTAAGGGTCAAATGTTTTGTTACATAAAGAAAATAGTGTAATAAGATTAGTTATTTTATATAAAATTTTATTGTGTAAATATAAACATATTATTAGATAATTATAATTTTGGTTTTTTCATAAATTTTAATCACTTACAATTTTTCATCTAGGTGATTTTGGATATATGAATAGTTTTTACTTTTTCAAAGATCAAACATTGAAAGTTGATTTATTATTTAAAAAAAAAATAAGAAGCATTTTTTCTTGAAAATGATGTTTGCATAATTTTTTTAAAAATTATTGGTATGGAAAAGTGAAAAGTCAACTTTTTTTAGATAAAAATAAAAATAAAAATTAATGCAACAAAAATATCATGCTATATTTATTTATTTATTTTATATAATAAAAATATTTGATTCTCAAGTAATATTTAAAAATATTTTCATAAATATTTATAATTAATCAAACATATTTTCATAATTCTTAAAAATCATGATTTTCATATACGAAAAATTTTATCATATACTAAACATTTCTTAGAAATGAAATGTTTTGTTAGTTAAAGAAAATAATTTAATAATGAGAATAAATAATAGGCAATAAAAAAATTTGTTCGATAAAAGTATTAATTTCGAATTCAATTATTACTTCAACTAGCTGTTTATTCAGAAACTTAAAGTAAATAGTTATAGACGTTTTTATAGTTCTAATAGTATATTTATTTTATATTTTTAGTTTTTATAAAAAAATAATTAAGTTATATTTTTAATCTCTATAATATTTAATTTATAATTTTATTTTTTTTATTTTTAATTCTATAATTTTAGTTTTTTTATTTTATAAAATTAAAAAAATAACCTTATTTTATTAAATGTTCACTTGTTGATTATTATTGTAACATTTTTTAAGTTATGACTTGAAATTAAGTGTATGAATTTTTTTTAATAATTTTTAAGTTAAATTATATTTTTATTGTCATAAAATCTTATTTTATGATTGTAGTCCTTAAAATAAGGATCTTATAAAATTTTAAACTTTTTTACACGTGTCCTTATAAAATGTAAACTTGAATTAAAAAAAAAAACTTATATTTCATTTTTATAAAACGTAAGTACTTGTGAATAATTGGTGGAGAAAATATGTATTAAATAAAGGTACAATAGAAAAATTCTAATTAAACTTTAAAATTATAAACGTCAATTACTTTGAGAAGAAAAAAATTAAATATTTAAATTCATTTCTAATATGAATGTGCAATTATGGTTTCTAAGATTTTTGAATGTAAATTTTATAACATTATGTTAAGAATTATTGTTTATTTAATTCTATTAATTAAATGGTTTATGTTGATGTGTTGTTTTAGTGTTTTAAAATTTTAAGAATTAGTGAATTTTTATGAGTAAAGTTATTTGAGGTTGTTTTATGTTTAAATCAAGTCGACCAAGTTTAGAGGAAAGTATGTAATGCTTTATGAGAACTTGAACTTCATAAATTCATTTCTAATAGTTCTTAAAGAGAGAATTTAAAGAGATAGAATCTCGAGCCAAAAGTTTTTTCTTTTTTTTTTTTCTAAATTCATAGAAGTACTTCAATCCTTCCCTGAAGTAGTGGTTTTAGTGGCGGAGTTGAGATTCAAAGCTTCGAAGCTAAGATTTAGATATCGAGTTGTCGTACGATGAGAGCTCAAAGAGTTGTGTTCTTCGGTGTTCTTCCTTTTTTTTCCCTTGTTTTAAGAAGATTCAAGGTAAGAGAAGCTTATAGATTAATCTTTATTGTGTTGCATGCGTTGATTTTTGTGTTAATTTGTCCATTGATGACCTTGATGATGAACTTGAGAACTAAAACAAGTTTACTTGCATCCATACTTAATTCCAAGAGTTTTAAAGCATTAAAACAACAAAACATACAATCATTTAATTATAGAATTAACTAAACAATCCTAAAATTCAATGTTACACTATGTGCTTGTATATGTTGTTTCCTTGTATACAAGCTTGCTTTTCTATGTTGCTAGACTGCATTAATCATATTATTATGGGCGTAAAGCAATATTAGGTTGGAGGGCTTACTTGAGGATTTGTCATGTTGAGGATGACTTCTTTTTGTTGTGTTGTTCTATTGCAATGTATATATAGTTGTTGTTGATCGAAAAACTTAAGACTTTTATGTTTTCAAGCCTGATATTTGTATATGTATATGTGTGTGTTTGTGTACAATATATATATATATATTATTGCATGAATATCAAGAATTTGCTGGTATAATAATCATAGTTATTTAATGTATGTTTTCGTTACTTATAGTTGTTGAGCTGTAATAAATGTGGTGACTTGTCAGGTCATTATAAATTTAATGTCCATAATTTTTAAAATTAAGCAATATTGATCTACTCATTATTAATATATCATATAAAATTAAATAAAAATCGTAATCATAGTTATTTAATGTATGTTTTCGTTACTTATAGTTGTTGAGCTGTAATAAATGTGGTGACTTGTCAGGTCATTATAAATTTAATGTCCATAATTTTCAAAATTAAGCAATATTGATCTACTCATTATTAATATGTCATATAAAATTAAATAAAAATCGTTAAGTGTCCTCTGAACAATATTATCTTGTCTAACAATTAGTT